GGTGCCTTGACCGAGCTCAAAGACAAGATGTGCCCAGGTGATCATGAACACCACATCATTGAAGGCGGCTACAAGACCAAAACAGGTCAATGGGCATCGCTAGCAGAGTTTGCTGGTGGCTATCCCAAGGAGCTTTGCACTGCACTTTTGAAGGGAGCGGAAGCTTGGCTCACTCACAAAACCAATGAGGCCTTCACCGAGGACTATGAGATTGAAGACACGGTCCCCGATTGGATGGCTGGTGAAGACTACATTGAGGAGCAGAAGAGTCGCCAAGAAGCTCAACTCGATGACACTCTTCGTTTCCATGGCACTGAGCATCAAGGCCCAGAGGACGATGAACGTCATCCAGTCAGTGCAGAGACTCGCAAAGCTGTTGAATTTGCTCACAGGCAGCTGGGACACCCAACTCGTGCTTCTTTGACTCGTATGTTGAAGTTGGGCGGTGCCAGCCAGGATGCATTGAGGTATGCCAGCAAGTTTCATTGCTCAGTTTGTGCTGCACGACAAGCACCAAGACACCCGAAGCCTTCAACTGTATCTACAAGACCATTTGGCTTCAACGTGCACCTTCATTTGGACCTGAAGTACCTGTACGACTCCAGAAAGAAAAAGTATGTTTGCTTGAGCATTCTGGACTTAGGTACCATCAAGCACGATGCGATCATGCTCAAGAACCGCCGCCCCGACTATGTGGCAGAGAAATTCTTGCGACACTGGATAGCGCTCTATGGATGCCCCGCTCAAGTCACCCATGACCAAGGAGGAGAATTCGAACAGTCGTTCCATGCCCTCCTCGAAGATCTAGCGATCCCTTCAAAGGTGACAGGAGCACATGCAGCATGGCAGTTGAGCGCGGGAGAGCGTCACGGAGCCACATTGGGAGTGATGTTTCAGGCGATTGTTGATGAGCATGGCATCACTGGCTATACCCAAATGAAGAAAGCTTTGTCCTGTGCAGTGATGGCAAAGAATGCTACCTTGACCAAAGACGGTTACACCCCAAATCAAAGAGTGTTTGGCGTTGAGCACAAATGGCCGAGCTTGACTGCAGATGATGTTGGAATGAGTTTTGTTCAAGGCCTATCTGCAGACAGTGAGGTGGCTCGTGCCCACAAGATGCGCACAACAGCTCGCGTGGCTCTCATTCGCCAAGATGTCCGAGACAAACTTCGAAGGACACTGCTACGCAAGCCACCTACAGCTACAGGACCATTCGTGTCAGGTGCTCAGATCTATTTTTGGGTGCCGCAGCTCAAGCGCTACAACCGTGACAGTGGCCAATGGCGTGGCCCGGCTACAGTGTTGGTTCAAGAGCAACAGAAAAGATACTTTGTGAGCTGGCGAGGACGACTACTCCTGCTAGCCGAGGAGAACATGAGGCTTGCAACTCCAGAGGAGCTGGCACTTTCGGAACCGGTGAAGGAAGACGTCCTGGACATCCAAGAGCTTCTGAGAGATCCAACGAGATCTAACATCTACCAGGACCTTCGAGCAAAACCACCGCCTCCGAGACCTCGAAAGAAGAGAGAACCTCGTCCTCCCGAAGATCCACAGAGGCTGAGAGCAAAGAACATCTTGAGGGGAACCAAGGCAGTTCGAAGACTGTTGAGTCAGCGACCTCAGATGTCTCAGCTACCACGGCAGAAGAAGAGGAAGGAGTTGCCAGCGGCAGTTGAACCTCCACTACATCGAGAAGAACCACCTCGTGTTCCTCTACCTGCTCAACCTGTGGCAGCGCCATTGGAACCGGCACCGCGTGTCGTAAGGCGGCGCCTGGCTTTGGAGGATGCACCTCCGGCTGTGGCTGAGCCACCCCCAGCACCTGTGGCTGAGCCACCGTTGGAACCTGCCCCTACATCTGGTGTCGATGTGCCGATTGATGTATCCGACTATTCACCGACTTCGCCGGCAGATTCACCACGTCCTGATCATCCACCAGATTGGGAGCAATTGCCTACAGAGGCCCGAAGACAGCGTCTCACAGATGATGTTCCTTTCAGCATTAAGCGGAAACTGCAAGGATCCACTACTTCAGAACTCCCCTTGAAGAGGGCCAGACCGAGCACAGCCTTGTTCATGCAGGTGCTCGCTTCCACAGTTTCAGAAGGACCTGCCAACGAATGGATCACCCGCCATGAAGTGGAACTGCTCAGGCAACTCACTGGATTGCCGATCACAGCTGCGAGGCTACATCGCTTTCCCCGGAAACGGTTCATGAAGCCACCTCGCAAGCGAGCACGGGTGACAATTTTGATGGGCAAGGATCCGGACAACATCTTCATGGTGGAAGAAGATCAGGAGGAAGCTGCAAAGCATCCACGGCGGAGGTCATCTTTTCCATGGCGAGGAATGACTTTCTTTTTAAAGAGTGAGCCACCGCCAACAGAACAGAAAACCTACATCCAGCTTCCTGATGGGATCTATGAGGCCAACTTGAAAGAGGAGGAGCGACGACAGTTTGAGCATCTTTGGCTGGAAGATCTGCATGATCACCTGTTAGCAGAGGTGATGCTCCTTAAGCTCAAGCAGAGTGGCAAGGAGTTGGATCCAAAGTTCTTTGATGAGAAGGAGCGTGCAGAGTTCCTCAAAGCAGATGCCAAAGAGTGGCAACAGTGGGTCCGCAATAAAGTCATCAAGCGGTTGTCAAAGGAGGAGGAAGCAAAGATTCCCAGGCACCTCATTTTCAAGGCTCCTTTGCGAATGGTGCGAGTCAACAAGCAGACTCAACTCCTGGCACCGTTGGTGGCGAAATCCCGTCTGGTAGTTCCTGGACACCGAGATCCTGGATTGGGTCACTTCAGGAGCGACAGCCCTACAGCAACGCTGCAGGCAGTCCGGACGTCAAAAGCTGTGGCGGTTCGGAATGGATGGAAAGGATGGTCATTTGATGTCACCACGGCATTCCTTTCAGGTGAGAACCTCACCAGAGACGTCTATGTCAGAGCTCCAGAAGAAGGTCTACCAGCAGTTGAGGGAGAGCCTCCGGTGAAAGCTGGAGAATTGATGAAGATCTTACGATCTGCGTACGGCTTGGTTGAAAGCCCAAGGCTTTGGTACTTGCGTGCTAGCAAGCTGCTCACGACCACACCTCTGGAAGAACTGCCCATCAGCAAGAGCAGTTTCGTGGCCGCGGAAGGCAACAAAGCCTGGAGCATTCTCAGCTTGCATGTTGATGATGGACTCTTGTTTGGCGATGAAGGCGATCCACGCTTTCAGAAGTTGAAGAGTGACATCAACAAGATGTTCACGATCAAAGAGTGGAAGTCGATTCCTTTGACTTTCCTAGGCGTGGACCTCAAGCAAAAGGGTGAAGAACTTTTTGACGACATGTCAAACTACATCGCCAAGATCGCCCTTCCAAACATGAAGCTAGAGCCCAAGAATGATGACAAGCCACTTGATGCCCAGCAGCTCACGGCATATCGACAGTTGGTGATGAGATTGCGATGGCCTGGCCAACAGTCAATGCCGCAGCTTTTGTACAAGACGAGCAAGCTGGCGCAGTATGCAACAAAAGCCACGATGGGTGACTACAAGGCGGCCCTTCAGCTTTTTGAAGAATGCAAAGAAGAAGCTCGCCAAGGCAGATCTGTTCTGCCGTACCCTCGGATCCGTGGCAAGTTGTTTTTGGTGACCTACTTTGACGCCAGCTTGGGCAAGGAGAAAGATGGAAAATCGCAACTAGGTGCAATTCACTTTCTGTCCAATGAAGATGTCATTCATGGACCACAACCAGCTGCAGCAATCGACTACACGACCAACAAAAGCAGCAGAGTTGTTCGAAGTTCCATGGCGGCAGAATCATGCTCGCTCAGTGTGGCGGTGGACAGGCACTTGTACATCCGCCTGATTGCAGACATGATGTTGCATGGCGTTTTCAAAGTTGGCCATGACTGGCGTGAGAAACTTCGCGTTGGCGGTGGCATCGTGACCGATGCGAAGTCTCTTTTCGATCATCTTGGAGCAACTGGTCAAATTCCAGCGGAAAGACAAACCATGTTGGATCTGCTTGTCGCTAAGGACCTTCTGGAGCAGCAGATCTACAGGTTGTTCTGGGTACCGACCCATCGACAGCACGCTGACGGCCTCACAAAGGCTATGAAAAACGTGCTGTGGGAAGAATACTTGCGGAAGAAGACCATCAGCCTCAAGGAGACGCCGGAGGAGCGGGAGATCGAAGAGCACCGCAAGCAACTACGAAAGGGACAAAGAGAGAGACGAAAGATTCGCTCCAAAAAGATGGCAGAGCCAACTGTGTCCACAACATGGCGGGGCCATCAGAAGAACACTGGCAGCGCCAAGTGAACGTTGGCAGAGCCAATAGGTGGGTTGGCCGAGCCAGCTCACTAATTAACATGCATCAGCAACGGACGAACGACCAACACCTTTCCTTCCCAATGTGGAAGTTGAGCATCGGTGGTTCATGGTGGTACGTTCGGTCCCTGTTGCTGCCAGCTTGATCAAGCATTCGCTGGAAAAAGCAGCGCTTTCCGCTTTTCGCATTTTCTTAGAGCCCAATTCATCTCCGCACCATCATATTATATTCCGACCATTCCCATATTTAGTTGGAACTTCAGTGCAGACTTCTATATATGTATATCTAAAACCATGTTAAATATGTATCCATCTTCATCTTCCGCATGTTCCCACTGAAACGCGCTCGTTCTTGTTGGGGGCGCTGGTCCGATGGTCTTCGCAGTCCACATGAGTCGTGTCGGCTCACGAAGGGCGTCGACGTTGGTTGGGTCCATGGAGTTCACTCACGAAATCGGAAAGAGAACAGCACACCGGCGGTTGCACGGACTTGTTCAGGGGTATGGTGAAGACCGTGAACATGGTGCAGTAAATTGACACGACTTTATAATTGATATATTAGTATACAATTATAATATTAGTCCCTTTCTTGGGTGAAGGGGTAGGTGGTGAGACACATCCCACCTCTAGTCTAGGCAATACTGCCGCTTGAAGCCACCTTCAGCCGCATTTCATGTCACGCCATGGCGGATGCATTGCTTTCCTGGGGCCCGGGCACCTGGCCGATCTGAAGTCGATGGGCGAAGTGGGATGACCGAAGTCCCCTTTCCGCGGTGAACAGATGCAAAGATGCAAACGCGAGGGGAGCCGGGCCCCTCGGGGCCCCTCGGGTTCGGTTTGGAGGAACATGTTCGTTCTTTTTGGATCAAAGGCGGGAAGTATGGCGGGGCAGGTGGACAAATCAACATTGATAGAGCACTTCTCTTGGGCTGGCCATGGCTGGCCATTTGTTTCCAGCCTTTTTCAACCAGAAGTTTCAAGTCTCATAGCAACGGGGTCGCAAATGGATTTCTCAACCAGCTGTCAAGCATTCGACTAAGAAATCCATGTGAGAAATCGACTAAGACAGACTAAATCTTCGTCGACATCATTCGACATCCATGGATCTAGTCAAATGCTTTCTTTGTCTCAAGAATCCGCAGGACCGCAAATATGGTCCTTAGACCATCCAAGGACCCATGCACCATCGATTAACAGTATTAGCACCATGTAACATCGGCATCCAAGCTATTGGCATCCACATGGCCCACCAAGGGCTGAAGGAGATGCTTTTCTTGGGGAATGCTTTAAGATAGTTCTGTAGGGCAGAGGGAATCCCGCTTTATCAGAGAATGAGCATCTTCAGTATGAGCTGGCTCGTATTGGGGGGGGTGATTCACACTGTCATGACCGACACTTCCTTAACACTTCCGACATGTAAATCCCCACAAAAGGAGTACTGGTAAGTCATGACTGTAACTTTTCTGTACCGATCTTCCAGTCTGAGAGCTGGGCGATTTTGTAGGCCAAATCGGTCGAAATCCAAGGCTTAGAGAACAGTGCCTTTGTCCATGATGGAATTGACCTCTTCGCTCGTAGTCCCTTGGCGTGTGAACCGACCGATGAAACCAACGGAGGCGACCGGTATCTCGGGTTGGCTGATTAGGTTCGACATGGTTAGACCATTCCGAAATAGACCAGCTGGTTTGCTGACCAGCATATACACCAAGTCACATGGGTGTGCATACTAAGCAGTGTTTCAGTGAAACAATTGGGTCAACCCCTGAAAACATGTTGCCAGCCTGCAAAACCTTGCGACCGAACGGTAGGAGCGGGGTCTGCGGACGGTCCATGGAACATGTGTTTTGGATGAGTGGTGCCTGCAAGATGTTCATTGATCTCTTCAGGTGAACATTTTTATGGGTGCGGATAGGAGATGATGTTTTTTTTAAACTTTAGATGCTAGCTGGATCTTCCAACCACTTTCTTTAGCAATGGATCTCTTCGAGAACAACCGTTGAGCCCAAGAAAGCGCGAGATAAGTTATGACTGTGGAGAAATAATGTGTGACAGTGGTGTTCCTTTAAACTTTAATTACATGTGGCTGGTTGCTCTCCAAATTTGGCAGACGTGACACTCCGCGGTATTGAACCATCTCATTGGGAAGACCGATGATCGATGAAAGTTGACAAGGACTGACTAATTAGTCATGTGACCAAGCGGTGGACCACTCGGTGATGGATCAGATCCGTACATTCAAGAACTACGAACTAAACTGTACATGTCTATATAGTTCAAACAATACGGTCGAGTCATACTTATATATACAATAACATCTATAGCGATCACTATATCACTGTTGGCTTTTCAATCAGAAAACGCACGTGGAAGGAGCGATCCAATGAACGATCCAATGAACCATTCAAGAACTGCGCGACTCGCGAAACAGAACTGCGTTGTGCTGGAATTGTCTCTTACTGCGTTGTCTCTAGTGTTTGTTTCACCCTCCTGTTGTCAAGCAGAACCCAATCCGCTCAGTAAGAGTCTAAACAGTAGACTTTCAGGTTTGCTTTCCTTTGTTTCACCATCTCTCGGCGGCTCAACAGCCTTGAAACAGCAGACATATCCAGCAAAAGGATGCAAACACTTTGATGCAACTGATAAGTTCTTTTTGTCTGAACGAAATCAGCAGTTGATCTTGGAAGGCAACAAGCTGGAGTTGGAGCAACTAAAAAAGAAGCCCAGTGTTTCGTCCTAGAGGCGATTGAACGGAAGTTTTTGCTGATCTAGATACTTGTGCATCTGTTGCCTACCTCCTTTGTTTTGTCCTCAATTGCTGTAGCAATGCGTGGAGGTGAAGCCGGTGAAGCTGCGACCAGTGCACCATGGCCCTTCCGATCTTTCCCTCGTGTTCGGATCTGTACAGCTACGAGCAATGCACTCATCCTGAAAAGGTATTTTGTTGCAGCTGGTGCAACAGTACGAGGCAGTGCCTCGAAGAGTTTTGGACCAAATGGTGCTCAGAGATCGTGTACACCGATGCCATGAAAGCGGCATGTGATCAGTATCGGTCTCAAAGGCGGGCCGATTTGCTGAAGTTAGCGCATTTCTTCTTTTGGGCCTTGATCATCCTACTTGGTCTTGGCTTCCTCTTTTGGTTCTTGACGGGTTTCGCCTGGGCCTTCGTTTGGGGTCAGAACCAATTGGAAGCCCGTCGCTTGGCAGCCCGACGCAGAAGGGAAGCGGCTCATCGTGCAGCTATGCGATGCATGCAAGCATGCAGGCTTTTTGGCCCAGGCATTGACCAACCCTTGTTGGCATCAGAAGTTCTACAAGTCGCGAGCGCTGGCAGGTCCACATCGAGCTCGTCTGAAGCAGGTGGAGCAGCTGGACTCCGCGGTTGACCACCGAACTTCAGGACGAACGAAGGAGGCTTCTGCACTGACGGAGCTTCCGACAGGCTTCCGCTGCAGCGGTGGCAGCGCGCAACGCGGCGAGTTCCGGAGATGCAAAAGAGATGGATGCGAAGTGGCCTCCAACCCAATAGCGAAGGCCTCCAACCTATTAGCGAAGGCCTCCAACCTAAAAGCGCAGGCCTCCAACCTATTAGCGAAGGCCTCCAACCTAATAGCGAAGGCCTCCAACCTATTAGCGAAGGCCTCCAACCTAA